CACTCATCCCACACATATGAGAAAAAGGAGGAGAAGTGAAGCCCCTCTCACCTCACAGCCAGGAGCAGCCTCCCAGAGCAAGACAAGAGCCGTGTCCCTGTCTTTTAGCTACCTCTGAGCAGTCCTGAGCCAGGAATGTGCTATGGGCACATCCTGATGCTGATGTTTCCTCCCTCCGCATATGAATTGCCTTAGAAGATCCCTGCCCACCTCGCCACAAGGGATTCGGGACTTCACTGGCATGTTGCTTTGCTGTGCTGAAAATTGTCAGGGTTTCATCACACAACGTGTATCCCACGGTACTGAAGAGAGGAACGGCAATTTCGCATTTTTGAGACGTGCAGCAGGAGGGAGAGAGTGGTATTTTCCAAAAGAGGGCATAGCACAGCTAGAAATAACTGCCTTTAAAGTGGTGACATTTTTATGCATGGAAGAGCTAACTTAGAACATTTTTAGAGGATTTTATAAATCCCTCTGAGCCCAGTGCCACTGGATTCATCATATGAGGCACCTGTTTTACAGGGGAAGGTGTACAGGAAATAACCAAATACATGTTTTTTATGCGCTCTCTAACTTTCCCTAAATAGCTCTTTTTATAACCGCAGGTAGCATATGCAAAAAGCATGATGAAACCCAGAAAGTTTGGCTGGTTTTGCATTTCTGTCTTTGAAAGAGAAATGTAGGCTGCTTTAAAAAAAAAAAAAAAAAAAAAGCTGTAATGTTCTTTTACGTGCCCTTTCTGCGTGGTGTATCTTCATGGGTGTATCTTCATATCAGTGGTTAATTTTTGCAAAACAATAAGCCCCCTTTTTTTCTTTCAGCTCTTTGAAACGGAGCTGCCAGGAGCTTTTGGATTAAGCTTTATCAGGCTTCAGTTAGGAAAGCCTCGTGGAGGTTACGTAGCCAAATACAACATACAAATCAAATTATGGGAGAGATGAATGCAGAGTTGTTAAATTAATTTTGTTTGTTCCAGCCCATTGGAATGTTTTTAACATGAAGAAAATAATTCTCTGCTGTATGGCTGGCCTGGCCAACGCTTAGGACTGTACGAGCACGCTACATTTGTCTGCGAGCGGCAAACAGGTTTTCTCCAGGCTTGAGTGAGCCCTGAAAGACAAAGCTAGCCAAGATGCTGGCTTGCCCCCTGCCTTCCCCGGCGGGCTGATCTGCAGCGAAAAGACTGTGTGGAGCTCACAGACAGCCCCGCACATGGCCAACAGCTGGAAACGCCGGCTGAGGCTGCCCCGTGTCAGGTCAGAGGGCTTCCTCCAGATGCACCCGCGCCACCCTCCCTCTGCTGCAGAACTTTTCCATAAGGCAGGAGCCAGCGTGTTTGCCAGGTTCTCAGTTCAGGTCATTCCTGACAGGAGAGTGAAGGTTTGTTTTTTTTCCACTCCAAGAGATCTGAGGCGTGCCACGCTCAGGGCATCGCTGCCTACTGCCGGGCATGCCCCTGGTACTGCAAACACTGAGCACCTCTGAGATGTAGACCTGTGGCCTCAGCAAAGCTTTTCTGCCTCCAGGAGTCCTGGCAGGGGCGGTCTGCTAGCCAGGACGTAGCAGCTTTGGTGTCCCACTAGACCTTCACAGGGCCATTTCTGGTATCTCTCAGCTCAGTATTGCATTACGCCACAGAAAGTCATCCTAAAAGCCCCCCCAATATTTTTATTATCCCTTAGGATCTGAACTTAAAAGGCAATATTAGTAATATTTTTTCTAAAAATAGCTGAAATGCTATTTCAGTGTGAAATGATGCTGGTTGTTGGGTTTTGGTTCTTTTTTTTTGCTCAAGCAATCATGAATTCACAGGATTTTTTGCCTATTTAGCCTGGTTTAAAAAAAGAAAAAGAAAAAGAAAAGCTTGTGTTTCTCTTTAGTGTGTCCTGATTCAGTTGAGAGGAAGATGCAAACTTCTCCCTCCCTATTGCAACCTCTTCCTGCATTTCTGTTTGTCCTTCAGCTGCACATTTTGCAAAATCAGTAGAGGTTCTTCAGCATCTAAAAAAAAAAACAACCAAGGAACCTGCAATTCTTTCTATCTTCTTTCAAAAATGCAAGGCACACCAACGATTGAAAGGAAAATTAGATCTCTGGAAAATGCCAGCTGTTTTATATATGGTCAAATCATTACACTTTTTTTCTTGCCTTTCAGACATTTGCTATGTTATTATGTATCACTTTAATTAAATTATCAAATTGAATTATTGGATCAAATGTTTTTTTATTCCATTGTGTCCTGAGCAGGTTTGGTTAAATTAATAAAACCATATGTTTCATTTTATAAAAAAAGATTTCTTTTTTGCCCATTCATAATCTGTTAAAAACCAAAAAAGCGGCTGAACAGAAAAGGTTGGTTATTCCTTAATTACATCAGGTACTGCAATGTGCCTTGGAGTAACTGGAACACAGTCATCCTAAGTCATGAAAATTTTGTGATATTTACTGTGAAATGGCAGTGTTGTAAATTCAGTCACCTTTAGCTGGCTGTGAATGAGGTTTGTCTTCGTCTAAACTTGTCTCGGTGAAGTCGTTGGACTCAGCTGCTGAAAAGTGCTCATGACCTTCTTGGATCAGGGTGGAGGGTCAGGGAAGGTCTTCTTACTTTGAGTCTGTGAGGCTCCTATTTACCCTTGGGAAATACCCACTTCTTTCCTCTGGCATGAGCTGTTCTGAATGGCATTCTGAATGAGCTTGCTGGTGGCAAGGAGTGGCATGGAAAAGAGGATGTGACAGTCCCCTCTCCCGAGGGTGGCTTGGGGTCTTTGTCTGGAAAACAGCTGGCTGGCCATGGTTCAGAGGGGTATTGCAGAGAGGTAGACCTCTCTGTCTCTCATGAAGGTTACCTGGTTGAATTATTTCTAAAACAATTTGATACGTGATTATTTTATATATATAAATCTCTTCATGGCCTCCTGGAGGAGGAGGACTGGATAAGACTTCTAGGTCTGGGTAGTCCTTCACCCTGGGCTCCTGTCTCTGCTAGGGTTTGATTAGGTGGAGGGATAAAGGCTGGCCTGGCGTTTTGTCATTCTGTGATGACAAAGGGCTTCAAAGGGGGCAGTTATGATTTATTGGTGCAGTTATCAATAAACAGTGATGTCAGTGAGAATTGATCTCACTATCTCAGCGGGAAGAGGTGAGCATGGAGAGGCATACCAAGGATAGGGAAGCTCTTAAATAGTGACAGGAGCAACTACTTTCAGATGTGCCCTCTCAGCCGGGTCCTGGCCACCTTCATGCCATGCTCTGTGGCACCCTGGCTCTGCGGGCTCCCTACAGAGACCAGGAGGGAAGGGGTCTGCGGGCAGCAGACCGAGGTGTTGCTTCTGCCATTGCGGCATTGCCAGCAGAATGTCATTTTAGTCCCTTCAACTCAGTGTAAATAGAAACTCATATTTGTTTTGTCAACAATATGAGGTACTGCAGGGTCTGTTTGCTTTGCTGGATCATCCTTCTGGGTTAAGCAGAAGGATCTATGGGAAAACTGCAAGATTGTCACCACTTGTGGCAGGAGCAAACACCAAAGATCTTTCCTGCCCAAGCATATTTCTGCAGTATATGTTCTCTTGTTCAGGCTAGCTGCAAAACGTGAGTTATAACTGCACAAATGCATTTGACAGGTATTTTTCTATTGTACTGGTAATATTGGTGTTTACTGCATTTAATCATTTTTATTTAGGAACTGTAGCTATTTCAGTAATGTAACGGCAGAGCTACATGACCAACCTGCAAGTCCAGGCGTAGGAATAGATATTCCTCCCCTTCAATGCTGCCAGGACTCCTTAGAAGAGAAATAATGGCCAAAACCACACACAGCTACGTACCTGCAGAGCGCAAACAAGCTGAATGTGTTGGCTTCAAATGGAAAAGTCGTACTGGGAAGAATAATTCTGCAAACAGTGTCAGCGTGATGGTCTGGGTGACACTTTTGACTTTCCCTGGCAGAAAAGACCAGCTCCTTTGCCATGGCACATGTGTTTAGGTATCATTGCAAGTGATTTTTCTTGGTTCAGAGTTTATATTGGGAAAGAGAATGTGAGAATCTGCCCTGAATTGTGTATTTTAAACATGATTTTTAAAGCTTGCGAAAAAATCTAAACTCTATAGTTGGGAAGTGCATGATGCGCTTTTTCGATAGCATATGAGTGCCATCTAGTGTTCTTCATTAGTACCCTGACCTTTACATTTCGATGGCTTGAAAAGTGTTTTCTTCAGCGGCTGCAAGTGGTCTGAGCGCACCCCACTCCTCCTGGGGTGTATGGGCTGGGTTTGCGCCTGGGCTTGGTCCTCCCTGGAGACGTTTGGGGTTTGGTGTCTGCAGTAGGCACAAGCCAAATTTTTGCGTGCTGGTTAAGCTGTTCCCGTGCAGATGTCGGCACCGACTTCAGCTTGGGTGAGAAGTAACTTTGTGCCTCCCCGCTGTGGGCAGGGTTAGGAAGGCGCAACTTTCGGAGGCTGGCTGGAGGGTTCCCCTGCCTGTCACAAGAAGGAGATGGCCAAGGACCATCAAGTGCCACTCTTCCCTGTGCTGGTCATACGTTACTGACAAAACAGTTGAGAGTCTGTGAAGGAAAACATATAGAAAGGGGCGGATAAAGTGACTTTTGCTCATGTGCAAGAATGTACTGGGTTAAGAGGAAAACACTTACTGACCCAATAGTGTCACATTTTCAGAGGTTCCAACTCTTTCTGGGGCCTGCAGAGCACACCGGAGTATTTATCCCCTTCATAGAGCAGGAGACTGTGGGCTGAGGAAGAAGTTGAGCAACCTGCCTGCAGAGAATGGATTCTCTCCCTCCCTTTGCTCTGGAGAGCAGAAAGCAGCTGCAGGTGGTGTTAAATCCCATTGGTCTCAGTAGATTGCAGTCTAAGCTATTACCGTAGGCAAGGGCATTAAAGAAAAAAAAAAATGGCTCTCAGAGTGAGGCACGGTTCTTCCTGCTTGTTTTCTCTCGTTTATTTAGGAGAGCTTCCTATTTGTTCCTTCTGTTTTTTAGCATGCAGCACTCCCCCGGTCAACATGAAAGTGCAGCCTGTGAACAGGACAGCATTGCTTGTAACCTGGAACCAGCCAGAAACCATCTACCACCCTCCGATCATAAACTACATGATCTCCTATAGCTGGACTAAAAATGAAGATGAAAAAGAGAAGACTTTCACCAAGGACAGTGACAAGGACCTGGTAAAACCACAGCATCAACCCCAGACATATGTATCAAGCTATCCTTATATTGTTATTTTCACAGTAGAAGGAAGCAGAGGCAGAAAGCAGTTGTTACCTTAAAGACAGGCTAGAGTTTAACTCGCAAAGAATTGCTATGAAAATGTTCAGCATTAGTTGAGCGTTGTCTAACAGATTACCCAAAACACTGGAGTGTGAATTTATAGTTTGTGTGAGTGCATAAAGGACTAAATCTGCAGACACTTTTTCATATACTGTTGCTGAGAAGCAGCTGGCTCGGGAAATAGTTAGGCTCTTAATACCTTTTGGCTTGTGTCCAGCTCACAGATTTTCACATTAAAAGCCCGATCCCCCAAAATCTGCTCCCGGGCTCAGGCTTTTCCCTGTGCACAGCCCCTTGCAGGCTTTGGAGCAGTTTCTGGCAGTAAGCGCCGCCAGCAGTAGGAGTTGCACGGTCAGGGCTAGAAGATTATTGTGGAGTGGGCCTGTACGAGCGCTGCCTATGTCTGGTGGTGGGAGAAAAAGAGGGGAAGAGCAAGATGGAAACACCGATCTATCTCCTCCATTTAGGATTTGATCTGCTTGTCATTCTTGTCTAAGTGGAAGCAAGTATTGTGCCGGTCTTTAACATTCTCTGCATATAAAATCAAAGTGACATACTCAGGTTTGAAAGGCCTCCGTTTATTGTTAATCAAAGAAAGCCTCTAGAATAATGAAATCAGTAATTGTATATGCACATGAAAAATGCAGCAGCACAGAGTGTTATTCCTAATGACTGTTATCGTATTTTTTTTTTCAAATACACAGTCCTCTGGGCCCATTCAATCAGTTATACAATAATACTTCTCTTATTCCCTTAGATGAAGATTCTTTTACTTCATTTCCATTTATATTTTCAATTTCCCCACTAGACATTGTTATCTGGGTCACATTAGGGAATGATGTGCCTCATGAAATCAGAGAGGAATCTATTGAAAGGCACCCAAGGTTATGATGTATTGTAACCTCTCTCTTGTCATAACTTCACACTCTTAAGGGAGATTTTTTTAATCAGGTATAAGGAGGAGAGCCTTAATCAGCAAAAATGAGGTGGGCACACTGACAGCATCCTGTTTTATGTAAAAGAAATAATTAAAAGTGCAGACGATGTGATGGAGTGATAGCTTGGAAATAAATTGCAGTGAGCCCCTGTGCGGTGCAGCAGAGCTTGGAGGTTAAGAAAGCAATGACAGATTAGTCTATTTTAGGGGCAAAAGAAAAAAAAGCTCTTTTTGAGAGAAAAGTGCAATTTGCTTTCAGTGCTCTGCTAGGCTGTCCCGTCTTGAAACAGAGCTAGACAGTGTTTTGCTAAAGAGATCACTGGTATTTCAAGTGACCCACACTTTTATTTGAAATTGAAAACACATTTCAAGTGACTGGTGCTGTCTGCTGCAAGACATGAACTGATGTGATCATGGACTAAGGCAACACAAAAGAGTAGCTGCGAGGCAGCAAGGCAGTGTCTCTGGTGTAAAAATGCACAGGGACATCCCAGTGCAGGGTGCTGAGCCATCGTATTGTACAGGCCACCGGCACCAAATTGCCATAGCGAGTTTGTTGTGAAATAAATAGTCAGTTTGAACATACAGTGACTTTTCTGGGCTTATTCCAGATTGGGACTTGGATCTCCACCTATAAAAATTTCATTTTAGTTCCTGTACGTTCATTTTTTTCTGAGGACAGCAGAGACTTTCAGGCATGAATACTGTCATGAGAGTGGATGTGGGGTGCGTTCATTTCTTTCTCGTGACCAGAGTCTGGGTGCATCACTTTTATCCCAGGGAAGTCCGTTGACCTTGGTCCTACCCTCTTCCAGGGGAGCAGCGAATCCTTCTGTTTAGAAATAAGTTTGTCTTATATGGCAGAAATGTCCTGTGTTAGCCAAATGCTTTTTATGTTTCAGACTGATCGTGGACATTACTGTGGGGGTAAAAAACTGAATAACATCTATTTTTTTTAAACAGAAGGCCATCATTAGCCATGTCTCACCTGACATCCTTTATCTGTTCAGAGTTCAAGCAGTTTGCCGAAATGAAATGCGTAGTGACTTTAGCCAGACTATGCTCTTTCAAGGTAAAAAAACCCACATACATATTTTCGCATTATGACTCTTTGTGTGTTTAACATTTTCTTTGCAGAGTGGAATGTGTGGAATGATTTCAGAAGATGTTTGAGTGCGTGTAGACAATGCTAATTTCAGATTGTGGCCAGTGACTTTATCAGTCCTATTTGTAGTGATGAGGGTTTGCCTACACATCTTTGCTGGCAGATTTCATCAGGTTTTAGGAGAATTCCGAGCTATTCTTGGTACTACTTTTCTAAAACGAACCCATCAGAGACTACTTATGCATCAGAGGCACAGCTATAGCAGAATGTGAGTCTGATCAGTGTCTGTTTTATGTAAAGAGGAAAGGAGATCAGTCCTACCTTGACAACCACATGTGGAGACGTTCAGGTTTTACCATGCACAGAACCTCAGTGATTTCCAAAACATACATATTTAAATGAAACCTAAAGAACCAGATGCTAAGCTGTCCTTTGTCATGGATTTCCTTTTAAGTTTGTTGGAGAAATCTGGTAAAGCTGAGACTTGTAGAACTTGATGCTTTTTGAGTTTTTTAAATGTTGAAATTTTGCTCCTTCCTACGAATCTGTTACTACTATTTTTTTATTAAATAGGGCAAAATTCAATTCTGCTGAGAGCACTCCCTCCCACTCCAGTTCACAGTTATATAAACCTTGGAATGGGTAATGGAAAACCAAAACAAGCAGAGAGTTAAAAATGTAAATCCTTAAGGTGAAGGAAAGAGTTTAGTCACTTGGGTTTGATGCTGCGTATGGAACAAAATGAGAGGCGCGTTTTTAAGTGTGATTTTTGGAAAACGTGGAGGTTTTAGTCCCACTTTGTTAGCACTTAGCATCTGAAGGATATCAAGCTGTGGACACAATTTAGTTCTGTTCCAGTATCATGCCACAGTGTTAGCAGCATTGCTGGGAGAGCAGGGATCAGATAACAAATCTCCTATCCAAGCAATATCTTTCATATGTAACTCTCAGTTTCATGGTACCTCAGCACAGTGTTTTGGACTTCACTTTAAGTGCCAGGCAGAAGTCAGAAACTTCTATATTAATTCATTATGGCCTCTTTTTGGCAGATGTGATAGAATGGAAAAGTTCTTTGAAATTTGACCATGATACCTATTTAATTACAGTTAAGAGTAAATCATTATTGACAGTTTTGCCAGATATCCTTTGGATACTCTAACTCAGCGTTCAAAGCAGTGAAAGTGATACACACATCTGCAATGGGAATAGATGTTACATCTCTTTCCATGTTTCCCCAAAAAGCAGCCCTCCTTCTAATCTTTGGCTGTACCCAAGCTCTAACTTAGAAAAAGAATTCACTTCAGCTTTCAAAACACTCTTCATAGGCTGATTATAGTTATAGTTGAGATAAGCATTAATAAATAATGATGATAATATCATAAGAGCAGAAAAAGCTGGTATCATCCCCTGCTCTGGCTTCCTGCTTAAGTCAGGATGTTTCATCCAACTTGGGTTTGAAGGAGAGCACGTGTTTTCTGGCAGTGCACTTAAACCGGCATTGCCAGGTTTAAAGACAAAAGAATCTGTCTTTACACAGGAGTACAAAGTAAGGTGAGTAATACCAAATGAGCAGAGTTGCTTTTACTCCAAACTGAGACCCGCATATGTATTTTATAGTAGCAATATTCAGCAGTTTAGCAATTTTAGCTCTGCCTCCCTTCCCAGCCTGCTGACGCGCTGTTGTTCTTTGTTTCTCAGCTAACACTACTCGAATTTTCGAGGGGACCAGAATTGTGAAAACAGGAGTGGTAAGTCGTGGCCATAAATCCCTGCGGAGCGCGGCCGGGCAACGGTAATTTGGGGTGGCATTCCCACCAGGTGGCAGCACGATGTTGTAAATCTGCGACAGGACCGGGCTGCCCTGGGGAGGGGGTTGTTCAGACCCTCCACAAAAGGTTTTATAACATACCCAAACTATTTGGAGGGCTTTGGGTTTTCTACCTTCATGCTTCGAGAGGCTTTGACCGCTGGAGAATCAAGTGTTAAAAAATCTTCACAAATATCTATTGAAGTCATACCGAGGGGATTTGTAATCTTAATGACAACTCTGGAAATAAATTTAATTTCTTTTATTAACTGGGTGACCAAAAGTATATGCAACAGGAATAAGGCTGCACGCACAGCATCTTTGCTCTTCCAGTACTCTAAGGATACCCGCTCTTGTGTGAATAAGCCTTAACAAGCTCTTTGTTTTCATTTTAGTTCAGGTGAGACTGTAACGAGTCACTGAAGCTGACTTTTGTATTCCAGAATCAGAAATGTTGATACATTTACAGAAAAACTGGAATACACTGTTTCAGTTTTGAAAGCACCTTATTAGGTTATTTAACATAAACTATCCATAACCTACATTTCTTGGCATCCGGTGTACTGAATTGTTCAGTCAAATTTATAGACTGAATTCATACTATTGAATTTACTCTAAGTACATTGGTTCTGATTTTATTCTGCTCCAGTTTGATATACTCCCTAGTAAGCAAATAACACATACAAAGCTTGAATTTGAATGATTAATGTTTGTTCAATGATGTATAGAGGTATTCTAAATGTATAAAAAATGCTGTCAAATTTTAATATTCAGTCCAGCTTTGAGACTGTGCATGCCAGCAAAAAGCAAATCTCACAGTGCCTTAGGGATTCGCACTGATAAGTATCCGAATGTTTAGTTGCTTATTTAAAGTTTTGGCTTGAAATCTCTAAAGCACAGGTTTTCATCTGAGATCTCAGGTTCTCTGTGACTGCAGCTGGTCAAAAATAACGTGAGAAAGCAGCCTTTCTTGGTTTGCTGCAGCATTTCGACTACACAGCCTGCCTGAAACCAGGAATTGCAGAGATATGCAGAAATACTGTTAAGTTATAAATTTCAGTTCCAAAAATAAACATTTGACAGTTTTGTTCAACGTTCAGTAGCACCTATTTAACCCTTTTCATCCTTGTCTGATGCATACTGTTCCGGCTAATGCTCCTCTTCCTGATGAATTCAGTAATGTGAGAAATTTTTCAGTAAGTTGGAGAGGGAGCGTGGTCAGGTTGTCCGGGCAGAACTGCCGACCCCTTCTTCCACAGAATTACTCCTTGTGCTTAGTCAATGCACTTCAGTGTCTTTTTCTGCATGTAATTCAGGAACAGGAATGATTTGCCTAGTTCTTTAAGTACATACCAAGGTTTTTTATTTCCAATAGAGCATATGTATGTGTGCACAGAGACCCTCATGCACTGGGTTGACAGTAGAATAACAGTGGCAGGGTGCAGGGGATGGAAAGTCCATGGCTCGTTCCCTGGTTCCTCTCAGCTCCCCAAGGGAAGTAGGCAGTGCCAGCCCTGGCTCTGGGTTGCTGGTGGTGGCCAGGGAGAGCCCTGTGGATGGGGAAAGCTGAGTCTATACATGAGTGTCACAGCTTGGTGGTCCTGGTAGAGGTGGTGGTGACTTGCTGAAGGGCTCCAGACGCTCTCCAAGTCCTTCACGAATGCCCAGCTGGCCATGCTGCAGGTCTTTCCTAATGACAGTGATACCTCACTGCAGCACCAGTCCTTACGAGAATAATGCTGATGGGTAAATTAAGGAAATAAAAATAGTACTGTTCGAGGCCCTCACAATGTGTGTAGGAAGACGCAGAGTTCCCTGTCAGAGCAGACCCACCAGCCGCGGATGCTCACGTTGGCAGTACAGCCCTTATTTTGGGACAGCCCTTATGTAACGCTGTATTTTTAAACTTATGTATTCCGAGGATTAAAGCACTGTGAGTAATGCAGCTAAACTCATTAAACTCTGTTACATCCTCCTCACCCCTGAGAGGAAACGTTACTCACAAGTCACCGGTGACGTGGGTGGAGAAGGTCCCGCTGTAAAATAAAGATAAGGATAAAGATGGTTTTGATGATAATGATTTTGGAAGTGGTAAATGCAGGGAGGTTTCCTCCCTTCGTGGCTTGCCATGTAGCTCTGTGGCATGTCCCGTTCCTGGCTCAGCCCTGCATCCAGCTGGTGTAAGTCTCTCATTTTAAGAGAATAGCAACCAGAATGGCATGTGTATGGAAAGGGAGGGAAAAGCATAAGAAAAATGACCCCAGGTAGCATATCACGGCCCCTGCTGATGCTCTCTCTGTTTTCTTCCTCTCTGCTGCTGGTGACCTCCTCAAGCCCACAGCATCTCCTGCCTCCTCAGCTGACATGGCTCCCATCAGCTCCGGCTCCTCCACCTGGACCTCCTCGGGGCTCCCCTTCTCCTTTGTGTCCATGGCCACAGGGATGGGGCCTTCCTCCAGCGGCAGCCAGGCCACCGTGGCCTCAGTGGTGACGAGCACCTTGCTGGCAGGGCTGGGCTTCAGCGGTGGTGGCATTTCCTCCTTCCCCAGCAGCGTGTGGCCCACCCGGCTCCCTGCGGCGGCCGCCCCCAGCAAGCAGGCGGGACGGCCGGTGGTGGCCACCACCGAGGCCGCTGCTGCCGCCTCCCCGGGGCCAGAGCGGGACTCGGCGCTGACGAAGGACGGCGAGGGAGCCGAGGAGGGGGAGAAGGATGAAAAGAGTGAAAGTGAGGATGGGGAGCGGGAGCACGAGGAAGAGGAAGAAAAGGATGCTGAGAAGAAGGAGAAAAACAGGGTGACAGCGGCCACAGAGGCGCGCAATAGCACAGAGTCCAATGTGGCCACGGCTTCCCCCAACCGGACTGCCGAGGAGGAAGGAAATAAAACCATACCGGGGGAAGATCCAAACCAAAACATTGCCCCCACGGCTGGAGGTCCTGAGGAGGAGAGCTTTGCCGAAGCAGACACTCAGCCCCAGCCGCTCCCTTCCACCCAAGTGCCGCCAGCGTTCACCAACGAACTTTACCTGGGGAAGATCCCAAGAAGACCAGAGACAACAAGAAAGCCTCCTCCAAAGGAGGACAGATTTCCAGAGGAATACCCCTCAGATAACAAATTCATCACCATTAACCCAGGTGAGTGACCTCCGGGGAAACTGTTTTTACCAGCATAAGGCTGTTGGAAAATAACACAATCCAAATTCCTTACTGATTTCTAGTAGATATATTTTTGTGGTGCCTGGCTTCATCCTATGGGCAGGTCATCACAGGACCCAGTCCACAAGTTGTTACTGGGGGGAGGAGAGGGGGAAGGAACGTCCTTTTATTTTATTGGGACAGATGCATGCCCCTTGTAGTGCTTACTAGAAGAGAAAATTCGGAAAAGGTGTTAACCCCCAACATGCTGCATTAAGAATTTTGTTTTAAAAAAAAAAATAGAGAGGGGAATGTGGTGAGCTATAGCTGTGAAATTAATTTGGAAGATCGGTTGCTGTGCTGAGCTGGTGTTTCATGAGAAGGTTGCTATATGTGCTGTAAGCTAATTTAGTTTATCTGCAGGATTCTCCCTGATTGGGCTTTGAGATATTCTCCCAAATACAGGATCATCGCTGGCTTATTTCTCACCACAAAACCTACATGCTCTGATCTTCCAAGACAAGGCACCTTTTGCACTAGGGTTACCTTTTTTCCCGTGGAAAAAAAAAAAAAAGACAACCTTAGTCAGGCAGAGTTCACGTTTTTTCTGTGTTTGTCCTGATGAGAATTACCGATGCTCCTGTACACGCCAACTCTGGATGTATGTACCAACTCCACAGTATGTACACAGCAAATACGACCTTTTGGAAGCATGCCCAGGTAATCCGCACGTGCACCGAGCCCTGCATGGTCAGGATTTGCTGCCCAGGCCTGTGCAAACAGGTATCTCATGGTGCTCCCAGATCACTGTGCTGGAAGTCCAGTGGGTATGCACATGTCTCTGTTTGGGGAGCTCCAGGCACCGGCGAGGAAAACAGATCTTATAACTGCAAGGAGCAAATGGAGTACATGCGTATGGATTTATTTGCAGAGGAAGGACTGAGATTTAGATACAGTGACGAGTTTATCTGAGTGATTATGTGTATTACTGCAGCATTTATAAGATAGTGCACATTTTTTTGTTTGTTTGTTTTACTGTTATTGTTTATTTTGCTAATCTGTAAACTGTTTTGTAATTGTGTTTTTCCATCAAAGCTGTTCTAGAGTTAGTATGAAAAAACCTTACATATTTATTTTCCCCTACATTTATAGACACAAAAATGCCAACATTGTGCACTCAGTTATAGCTCAAAACCAATTTGAAAAACAAAGCTAAATCCAATCTTTAATAACATTTGTTACAGAAATGCTGACCTGACTCTAATGCTATGAATCATAACTATTCTGTAAGAGAACAGATGAACAATGCAGAAACCAAGAAACCTGCACCAGGTTGTGCTGATTTTTTTAAAATATGCTGCTGTTTCTCCTCAACTGGAAATCTTCTTCAAAGTCCAGTGCTCCCCCTGAATATGGTCCGAGATGCCTGTCAGGCAGCTTTCAACATACCACTTGCCCTAATCACCTTTTTATCAGGAAGGAGGGAACTTGTCCTAGCCATGCTTTGCCATGTTGGGAGTAAGCCTTCACCACCATTGATGTTCACGCCCAACTAATTCAATCTGCCTGCATAAACCTGCCTCTGGGATAGTTGTCTTTGGTTCTTCCTGCCTTCTGCTTCGCTGTTTCTTGTGTGCCAGTTTCTTGGATGGCCCAAGTACAATGTCCCTTATACAAGACTTAGAAAGGGGCTCATGGTGTATTCTCAGCCTAATAAATTGGAGGAAAGACGGGCAGTTGGTGGTGTTTCTTAGCTCATGACAAAGGGATTGTTATTAGATTGGTTTTCATTCCATGGTGAAGTTAAGACGAAAAAGATGAAAATCAATGACATGGGGAAATACTGTTAATATTGCTAAGAAGTACTTACTGGTTATTGTGAATTGTATCCCCTTAGTCTGTAGTGATTTCTGTCTCTTTTTAGCATGCAGAGAACTATCACTGAAAGTGGTTCAATACAGCTTTGCCTCCTACTAGACAGCCTCTTTTAAGAGCTCTGCTCACTTGCAGGCTTGGAGGCATGAAGTGACCCTGCCTGAAGACTGCACGCAAAGACGATCAGTCTTGAAAGGCCTCTGCAAATCAGGCTTTCCATACTTCTATATGGAGGGAGGATAACTTACTAAGATCACCGTGTCTTACAAAAATGGCATCTGAAATATACAGCACATGTTCGTTGGGGGAAATTAAGTGAAAGAGTTGCCTGTTTCACCCAATTTATCCCTAGTTAAATCTCAGTTAAACTTCTGGTGACGTACCTGGGATGAGGAGAAGGAGCTGTACCGCATTTTCAGCTTTCCAGACAAGCCTCTCCCAGGCCCCTCAGTGTACTGAAGAGGACACTGGGCAGCAGAAGGGCTGAGAATGGCTATTCAGAGCTGAAGAAGGCCCCACTTGTACCATTTTCCTTGGGGTAGAGGTTCATTCCCTGTCTTTGACCTCCAGGTGGAAGAAGTTAGGTTGGTCACAAACGTGGTGACTCCTTGTCCAGACATTGGGACGAGCTAGTGTTTTTCAACTCTGAGAACATTTTGAGATGTTTCTTATTGGCTTTGGGACTGAGGCTTTCAGTCTGAATCATAGAGTGTACCGTCAGCAGGTTTGCTGATGACACAAAACTGGGAGGGATGGCTGACGCACTGGAAGGCTGTGCCGCCATACAGTGTGACCTGGACAGGCTGGAGAGTTGGGTGGAGAGGAACCTTATGAAATTCAGCAAGGGCAAGTGTAGGGTACTGCATCTGGGGAGGAATAACCCCATGCATCAGTTGCAGGTTAGGGGCTGACCTCCTTGAGAGCAGCTCTGTGGAAAGGGACCTGGGAGTCCTGGTGGACAACAGGTTGACCATGAGCCAGCAATGTGCCCTGGTGGCCAAGAAGGCCAATGGCATCCTGGGGCGCATCAAGAAGAGTGTGCCCAGCAGGTCCGAGGGACGTCATCCTCCCCCTCTACTCTGCCCTGGTGAGGCCGCATCTGGAGTACTGTGTCCAGCCCTGGCTCCCCGGTTCAAGAAGGACAGGGAGCTGATGGAGAGGGTCCAGCAAAGGGCTACTAAGATGATTAGGGGACTGGAGCATCTTTCTTACGAGGAAAGGTTTAGGCACTTGGGTCGTCTTAGTCTAGAGGAAAGACGACTGAGTGGGGATCTTATTGATACTTACAAATACTTAAAGGGAGGGTGCCGGGTAGATGAGAACAGTCTTTTTTTCAGTGGTGCCCAGTGATAGAACGAGAGGCAACAGGCACAAACTTGAACACAGGAAGTTCCATCTAAACATGAGGAGGAACTTCTTTCCTTTGAGGGTGGCAGAGCACTGGCACAGGCTCCCCAGAGAGGTGGGGGAGTCTCCCACTCTGGAGACATTCCAAACCCGCCTGGACGCCGTCCTGTGCAACTGCTGTAGGTGACCCTGCTCTGGCAGGAGGGTTGGACTAGATGAACTCCAGAGGTCCCTTCCAACCCTGACCATTCTGTGATTCTGTGTATGAGGACCTTGTCCTTCAAAGTCTCTTCAGACAAGTCCTTCTTTTCTTTGCGTCTTTTGTCCCCAGGCTTCTGCAGTGGATAGCTGAGGTCTACCTAACCCGGAATTTGCCCAAATACTGCACTAGATGTGTCTGAGTAAGTCCTGGCTGGCCTGCTGGGAGTTCTCCCCCTGTAAGAAGACTCTTGAGAAGGCAGGAGAAGGAGCTTTCCTCCAGGCTGGATCTAGGTTACCAAAACATACGCCAGCAAAACCCCCAGATGGTGAATTGGCCCATCAAACACCAGCATGAAGCATAAGACTAGTTGCTTCAGCTTAATTGCTTTCCACAGTAATAGAGAAATTTGCAATTCATGTAGACACACCTGACCTAGCTCACAAAAGGAGTTGAGTTCAGGTAATCTAGAGACATAAGCAAGATCTTTTCCTATGAGAAAGGGCCTTAAAAGTTTTCCCTAACAAGGTAAACCTGAAATCAAGACAAGGACCAGCGAAGCCAAGAGGACATTGCCAGAAGTGTCTGGATCATTCCTGAACATCAGGACAGTTACAAGAGGGTGACGGCCACTTCCAAAGTGAGCAGAAGGAACCCCGGTGGCTTACAGTGTCCCGTAGAGGGCAGAAACTTTTTTGGATGCATCTTTTCTCCAGGAAAGCAGTTTTTAAAAAGCTGTCAAGGTTTCAAAAATGTTTTTGTGAGGAGAAAGTTTAATCATTTTAAAGAGTAGAAAATTGTTTCATAACAATGTACACTTGTAAAATTAATTATATAGCATCAAATTAGCAGTTGTAAGGAGATAACTGAATGGGGAAGTACTCATGAGTGTGGATGATTAGAGGAGAACAGGGAACACATGAGAAATTACGGGGAAAGTGCGAGGCCAATTAGTACAGCAAGGCTCATTTTCTTTTAGTGCTTATTTCACACACACATACACACACACCTCTCCTGAGGCCATGTCATTATTTTCCAAATGGCATTGGCCTCTTCTTGTCTGGTGGTATCGGCCAACACTAATGATTTTCTTCTGTCACTGAACGCTTGCTTGCATTCTCCTCTTTCATTTTCCTGATCATCCTTTTCTCTGTTTTGGTGCCCACATTAGACTAATTGTACCTTTGATCTGCAACTGTTACACACGCAGCTGCTCACCATTGTCCGCAACTCTGAAACCTGAAAATTAGAAAAGCAGCAATTAGAACGATGCTGTACCAAAAAAAAAAAAAAAAAAACAGGAGGAAGGAAAAAAAAAGAAAAGTGGCATGATTCAGTTATGATTCAGTTAAATCAGGCTAGAGCAGATATTATCCCACAGAATTTTGGTTTGTTGTGCCGGACAATTAAACAGATCCTTTATATTTGGCAGGAGATAATGAATGGGCTGTTGTGAGCAAAGTAATAGATGTCCAGTTGGGGCTATTGCCTGAGTCATGGGCTGGGACTGAGAAGAGAGGTGTGGGTTTGGCCCTTGGTCCGAACTTCACCCAGGTCCTCCCATCCCTCAGCGCTCACCCTCATCTGCCGAGTTCCTCCCATGAGAGGGCTTTGTAGAGAGGTTGTGATATGCAGGGTTGAATTTCAAGCCCGGTGTATGCTTTTAGGAGAGGCTGAATTTTGGTTTTTCAAACAGTCTTTGCCAGGTCTGAGGTTACAAAAGCCTTTTGGGGATAACCTCATTAAGATAATTAAACATCTGTGTAATTCTTTCTTTCTCCATACGTCGCAAGGATTATTAAGCTGTATTTTCATGTGGCACTTGAGCCATTTTGCATGGCAACTTAGAGGAGCAGAATGGCTTGAAAATAAAAGGACTGAATTATTTGATGTTTGCAAACACTATGAATTTCAGATATCTGACATCAGGATTAAATATGATTGGCATCTGTTTACAAAACAGTGAAAAGCCGTGCTTAGTTGTGCACAGCCTGTGAATATGACTACTGCAGGCTTTAAAGAAATAGGGAGAAAATAGCAGCACAATGACATACAACTTGTATAAAGGTAATATTTAAAAAAAAAAAAAACATAGGGTTTTGCCTTTTCATAGTTGAATAATATGGACAATATTATGTTCCAGAATTAATTGATACCTTTGTATAATTCCATAATTTTATGTACTCAAAGGAAAGATAAGCAGGTGACTTTCTTTTAAGTGACCGGATAATCTACGGCAGTTTGGCAGTGGGGGGGGTTCTTTTGGCCCCCAGAACACACGTATTGTCGTAGTTAACAGTATCTGTAACGGTACAACAAACAGAACTTTGTCCTGGCAGTTTATGCAATGGATGATAAAGGTAGGTAGGTTATATATTACAGCAATGGTTGCTTATTATAGCAAGCAGTGTTACTTAAGGAAAATAAACACGTTTCTATTCTCAGGAAGCCATTACCAAGAATACGCGGAAAAAGAGTACATTTCACAAATTGTAGAATGCCTCTTTTGTGCCTTGACCTTTGTGCAAGAGTTGCACTACCAAAGGCCCCCTCGCTGCCCAGTGCCCTCTCATACACTGTGCCAGGGCCTCATCCGTGCAAGGGCTGGATGGAACTGCTGAATGGATGGTTCACGGGAGTTATGGATTTTTCCAGACGCAGGAGTAGATTTAGCGGTGCCAGGGCTTGTATCATGTGGGACCTCCTGAAACAGATATGCTGTAATAATTTTTGTTCCTTCCTACTGGGATGAATTCCAAGCCAGTAAAAGGCAAACTGAATTAATTCAACGAAGGCATATGCCACTGGAAACTGTTTACATTTCTTAGCAAAAAATGGAGTTTCCTGGTCCATTTTTAAGCTTTTTTTTTTCTTCTCTCTCCCCCCCCCCCCCAAAAGCAAGGCTATTGGGGGGCACGGTTAAACGGGAAGGATTTTTAATATTTTTTTTTTTTTTTCTCCCCCCCCCCCCCCAAAGTACAGCGTATGGTGGGCACCGTTACAAGGATATGCTGTTGACACTAGCAAGGCTGAACGTTCTTGGAAAAGAGTGAAATGCTGACTATTTTTTATTTTATAATATTTTGTTATGTAGGAGAACAGGAAGCTCTAAAGGCCCAGATCTGTCTTTTTTTGCGTGCGTATTTTCTTCAACTCTTTTTCCAAGCTACCTAGTGTGCTGCCTTTCCTTAGGCTCTTCTGCCATGACACTCAAGAGACGGGCGCCAGCGCTCCAGCTGTGCTGCCGTACTTCTGGCCCCAGCTGTCATTCTAGTACAATTTTTATTGGCATTGGTTTGTTTGAGCTCTCTCAACACTTTCCTTAAGCAGCGGAAAACACCTAAGACTTTTTCTTTGAAGACGGCACAGGAAGAGTCTCTTTTATTCTGAAGCACATCACTGCTTGGGCATTCCCAACTGGAATTTCAGGGCCAACCATCAGCACGTGGGAATGGCATTTGCGATTCTAACACTCAGCATACTAAGGGCTTTCTTATCCTCACATCTGTGGTATAGGGAGTTGGCAGGGTCAGGTAAGTGTGTTCTCCACAGTAGACTGAGTACGAGGAGCATCGTGAGCACTGCAGAATTTAATAGTGTGCACTGGGACTCCAGCCCATGCTGTGCTTACAATGGAATTTAATTTTCTTCCCATGCAAACAGAAACATATGTTTTTGTGTTGAAATATGGGGAGGTGAAACTAAACAGGGTACTGTCCTTGGAGAGAGATGAAGCAACACCCTAAGGGATGTAAGGTGGTGGGATTGTTTGGCTCTCCTACTAAGTTTTATTACATTGCATGGTTTTTTGCTTTGTCCCTTTTACCGTTCTGATTAGTAACACTTACCTCAACAGGCTTAATTTTTTCATGCTGTTAAATGATTTGAAATGCACTGATAAAAACCGATGCCTCAGGGCTTATGATTTTTGCAAGTTTGGCAAATACAGAGAATAAGCTTTTGCTCTAGTTTTGGGGTTGTTCTTTTCCTTATACTTTGCTAGTCAAGGAAATCAAAGACCTGTCTTAAAAACGGCATGTTGTATGTTATTAGTATGCTGTGAAGATGAAAGCTCACCAGGTGCTTGAGGTACAGTGTTGTGTGCCTGTTGTGCAAAGTGGCACTTTTGGAAACCTCGGTGTAGCCTTTCGTACTGAACTTGGAGACAACTGGCTACTCATCTCTTTTTTGATCCATTCTATACTCAGTCCACGCTCACTTCCCCCAAACATCCCTCTGATTAGCACCTCATTTATGCTGCTTGCTAAAGGACGTTACCTCCATCAGCCTAGTTCTTAAAACTAGAAAGATTTCTTGCTGGGCTTGCAGCAGCCTGCAGCCTTGCTCTGTTTTCAGCAGTCAGGCAAAAGCATTTACAATTAACCTTTACTTCCATGTTAGTTGAATTTTACTCCTGCCTATGGAGGAGTATAATCTAAATGCTATTAAAATAGAGTATGACTTCATATTATGTGACATCTGGTGACTTCCAATTATCTGTGTTTTGCCTGCCTACGGTGAAAAGGCAATTATGTTCTTCTGGTAGGATTTGCAGCAGTTTCAGAAGATATGATAATACAATCCTGAACGGGGGCAAGGAAGCACATTGGTAAGGAAAGACTCACGTAGGCTAAAAAGCAGAAGTCAAGTGCATATGTTTCAATCCCCGTTCAAATCTGAAGCTGTTTACACTAATCTTTTCCCATTTCATCCTGTTGACAGGTATTGATCACCTCCTGCCTGTTTGTTAGGAAACATGAATAAGATTCAGAATCCGCTTCTGTATTTTTCTTTTATCATTCTGTCTAAAAAAATTTATTCATCAAGTCTACATGAATTTGCACAAATTAGATGTCTTTTGAAATACGTTGATACAATGTCTATGCTCGTTGGCTCCAGTACTTGCAGAACCTCTAGATAGTCATCCTATATGTGATACGGTAATTTTAACAAGATGTCATGCGAAAAGTGAAATGGAGTTACTCGCCCAGATCTCAGGATATTGACCAACTTTAATTTTGTTCAAAAGCTGTGGCATAATGATTTCTTCTGTCAGTTACAACACATCCTATCCATTCATTCATCCATCCATCTTGACAATCCATATGCTAAAAAGTGCTTTCGTATGCAGTAACTCACCAGATTGTGACAATTCCGCAAATGATGTGACATGACACCCAACATGTTGAGGATTTTTTATTTTAAGATAGTTACCAAGAAATTTATTTCTGAAGCAAAGTATTACACTGAGCTTTGCAAACAGGGCTGTCCTGTAGTGTTGAGAAACGGAGCGCATTTATCTGCAAATGCTGATGACCGAGCAAAGCGTTTACTTTGTTACTGTGGAGAAATGACTCAGTGGGGTACTCCACATCTGATAATAGGTGCTTGCATGATAGAGTCCTAAAGTTGTCTATGAGACTGTAATTACAGGCAGTAGTAAAATCCAAGCCATATGTGGCAATAAACACCATACTTCTGTGCTCTCATGTCTCAGACTAAAGACAAATGGAGTCCCACCCTGCAGTTAGAAGATCTTTGCTCTGTTTACTCATACCATGTAAAATGGACAAGCGATTTGTTTTGCTTACACATTTTTCCATACAGGAATTCTCTTTCCATTTAGTGATTGTTTTTGTTATGTGTTTAACACACAGCCGACAAGAACAGCTCCAGCATGGCCACGAGACCTTCTCCTGGTAAAATGGAATGGATCATCCCGCTTATTGTGGTCTCAGCATTGACCTTTGTGTGCCTCATTCTTCTCATTGCTGTGCTTGTCTACTGGAGGTGAGCCTGTTTCCTTTTGCTTGGAAACTGATTATGATCTAAAACGCATTTCAGGTGGTGGTTTTTAATGTGGTCCTGTGTTTTATATTTTATTAGATGTTACGGTGATAGATGGCATTAGATAACTCTGGATGCTAGAACAGCTCTGTTGGTTAACTATTAAGCTCTCTTAAATACTGATTTTTGTGTCATGACAATGAGCTTGGTAGAGCTCTAGCAATGGTACATCCATCTGTAATGCCAACAAATATTTTCACAATTAGTCCCTCTAATAGAGCTATAAAAAAGTATCTTTTTCTTGGCCTTCAGGAAAGGCGTGTGGGAGAAGAGCCCAGTCAGACTGGACTCGGTTCCATGGGTGGCTTTGCCACAGACCTGCTGTGGGATCTTAAGCAGCTCTTTTCTTCCTTTGACTGTACTTCAAGAGAGGGGGGGATAAGCTTGTTTCATGTGACATGGCATTGCTCGGAGTAGCGGTCCTTTAGCATGGGTGGAGTGCTCAGAAGTGCAACCTGCAAAGTCTTGAAAGTAAAGATTGCCTCTTACAAAGAGATACTGTCCTTTACACCAACGGGCATTGGTCCAGTAGTGAAGACTCAGATTGGCATCAACAAATCCACCTCCATTCCACTTAGAGTAAATTAAAACCTGCAGCACCTTCTTGTGCCAGATCAAGAACCCAGAGACACCTCATTTGTCTGGTAGTGAAAATTAACCGGGGATTAGCCGCCCAGAAGGTATTTAGGAATTACTTCAAAATCTGATTACGTGGGACACAGAGAAGTAGCTTTGATGAGAAATAGCAGTCCATTGATCATTATATTTGCAGAATCAATTAAAAAACTACCAAGCTGTTTTTCAGTACACCCATTTCGCTGACAATTAATTGGCCAAATTGTTGAGGCTGGGAACATTTGAAAGTATATTAATAAATAGATGACAATAGCCTTGTGAAAATCATTTCTATTAACATTTGAAAGTAATTAACATCAATAAAATTGCAGTGATATGTGCACAAAAGCTGAAATCGGAAAGGTTCTGAAGATCCCATTGTAGCATTCTGTCCTTCAATATATATTTTCTTCATTTGAAGGACTAAACTTGGTCACATTCACACGAGGCAAGCCCTTGAAGGATATGGTATATCCTGAAGCACGGAAATATTTATCTTCCATTGATACGAAGTGCTCTTCTAAGGAGGAAAGGTTTTGAAATAAAATGCTAACTGCTACTATCAACAAGAATGTTGGTGCCTCTCATTGTTTGGAAAACATTTCCATTTCCTGCCATTTCACTAACGGATCGAGAGAAATAGTTGCAAAATTAGTGTTTAATTCACTCAAAGAGTAACAATACTGTCCCTGTGAAGATACTAAAGTTGAAAAGTACTGACTTAGTGACCAATAGTTAGGGACTAATTTTTGATAAATATTGGCTTTTATTATAGATCATAATACCACTTGAGTCTAAAATTATGATACGTTAATTAAAGTTAAATACTTTTTAGCTTCAAAATTCCTAACCATCCACCCTGTAAAATTTTTATTTGCTTTGCAATAACACACATGCACATAAATCAAGGAATATACATTAACAAAGACTTTAACTGAAACCAAATTACTTTTGCGGGAATGTTTGCTATTTTGTATACGAACAGCGATTGTTTCTTATCTGCTCTCCATAATATGTGTGAGTAGTTAACATTCATCAGTGGCTTTGGTAATATTATAAGCGTTGTCATTAATACCCTTGACAGCAGCGGATCAATTTTTTGTGTATAATTGATACTAAAAAAAGGTGGAGATTAAAAATTAGTATCGACATGGATAGTATGTCATGTAGCAGTCAAAAGATTGTGAAAAATACGAAGCAACAAATTGAGGAAGAATAAACTAACTTGAGAGCACACGTGTACTAGCTTCAAAATAATCTCCTGTGTCTACCTTTGGAGTCCTGAGGATTTTTTAACAAATACTGAGAGTGTATAAAAATGTCAACGTGGGTGTTTTTGGATAAATCAACAAGCAGCTAGAACACAAATCGTCCACAGTAACATTTCACGTTGTGCAGCCCGTCTCATCGAAGTGGCAACACAGCATTTTTTGTGCCCTTTTCAGTGTGATTACCTTTCCTTAGGAAAAATAAAATGTTTATCTCTGTGAGTGTTTTAAAGTAAGGAAAAAACAGATCCTCAAACACCACAGAGTCTAATTTACAAGTTTGAAAGGAACAGTGATCTGGATTTTCAGGAAGAAATACTCAGCTTAAAATGTAATGGGCAACATATGGAATAATTTGCTAAATAACACCATCAAAGCAAATGGCATGAAAACGAGTTTGAGACAGATTTTTCAGTAAGGGAAACATGGTATTGAAGTGCACAGCAGAGAAACACTTGTTATGAAAGGATAACCCTCAAGGGGACAGGCGTGTTGGACCAAGGGGTCTTTTCTTGCACCGCAGTTCTTTGTTTTGGTGTGAGAAAAAGCACTACAAAACAAAACTCAGAGAACTAGGAAATGCAGAAGAGACATGGTTACCCTTTGGCAATACATTTTGAGGGTAAAACAAATGATATTTTCACTTTTGTGGTTTTGAGCATCTGTGGGATTAGATGATTTGAGACCAGAGGTGACATAAGTAGAACAATGAAGCAGAGCGAAGCCTTCTGCTTGTTTGCATTGCATGGATGCCCTGTTATCCAGGGACCAAAATAAGGAGTCAGGGAGATTGCTTGGGAAGATTTGGCAAAGCATTTAGCTCTGTTTGGATCCTTTGTAACTCATTCTGCAATACAGCAATGAAAGAAGTTTTGTGATGATGTCTTGTTTTAAGGAAGCTTCATTTTCTGTTCCCTTTGCTTGAAAAGGAGAGTGATAGGAAGCAGTCGCTGTTTGATGAAGCTTTTCCATTTATCTGTTGAGCTTCCATGCTGTGTTCATTAGAGACTTTTTGTAATTGAATATATTTGGAAATGATCTGTGCAATTTCAGAACGAGACTCCCTTATTTGCAGAGGTAATTTGCTGTTCTCTTCTTTTCTGTGTGGATCCTGGACAAATGGCAAAAGAATATGATTGATGTTGACGAGAAAGGGTCACTTCCGTCTTTTGAGCATGATGGCCATCTCAGTAATGAAAAGGGATGGGAACTTGCAGGCAAGCAGCAGCTCTGAATTACCTTTCTACTCAAGTTTCCTGAATTCGGTACTTTTAATGGCACTGCTGTGCAAAGAGGGCTGTGCGATGTTAAGTTGGTAGAGTGGAAAATAAACTAGGTCAGCATAATGAAGCTGCAAAAATTGTGCTGCCTCTTATCCCAGAACAATGAGGGGAGCACCATCGCGGGGTGACCGGGGGCCACGAAGTTCGCTGGGGCTGGTTGGCAGTTGGGCTCCCTGGGCGGGAGGGACAGTGACGGCTGTAATTTAAGTTTGCTTCTGTGCATCTTTGATTCCGTGCGAGGACAAGCTGGCCTGGCTGATCCTTGAGCTGTCGTGGGCACACTGTTGCTCCCAGGACCTCTAATGCTTGAAACGGATTTCTTTTAGCATTGAGTCGAGAATTCGAGTCCTAGCAGCCAGAAAAGGTGAGGAGACCGGATCCTCAATTTACTCAAGATGTAGATTCACCATTTGCTTCTGCAGTGGCACCGTGATACTTCTTTTTTTGCTTTCATTCTTTTCATACTGGTTCCTGAAATTGTCTGCTGTAGGGACAACCCCTGAATATTTCGAAAAACTATTCACTGGGATTTTAGGATCTTTCACTGGAGCAGTACTAGCTCATCTAAGAGCCCGTTAAAACGTGTGCATCGTAAGGTGCAGTTTCCCAAGCACATTATTTTTGCATTTCTGGGCATTTGTTTTGCGTCTGTGTTTTTTTATACCCAGACTCAGTATCGTGAGATCCTTCTGCAGTTCTTCAAGGTCAGTTTAAAATTTGACTTGGATTGTCTGCAGTCTTTGCCACTGTTGTTCTCACAGCCTTTTCTACGAGCTCTGAGAATTGCAGAGTGTGTTTGGTAGTGACCTCCAAACTATTTAGGGATTGGGTGTGACTTCAGTTTTTTTTGCAACAAGGCAAGTTCCTATAGCATGCTGAGCCATAATATGGCTTGAAACCTGTCTTTTCTAGCACTTCCACTGTATTCTGTTGGAAATTGAACAAGTCCTGAGTATTGACACTTCAAGGGAAACCCAGGGTCAGTGCCACTTTCTTTTTCACAGAGGTGCAAGAGGGTGACTAAAGTTGGGAAATCAAGTAAAATACTTTGATACACATTAACTTCTGTCATTTTAGAAAAAAAAAAACAACCATATTTTAGGAGTGACTGGTGACCTTCCACTGTTTGTTTTCCATTCTAATTTTTGATCTAAACACTATAATGCTATAGATGGTGGTTTCAAAGGGAAAAATAAGCAGAGAATATTAAGAAGCAATTAAGATTTTAGAGTTTAGCCAACAGCAACTTTTAAATGGGAACTAAATTATAGCCATTTCTCATTTTCAGCTAAGAGGAAGACATTAATTCACAACTATAGCTGGAGAGTTTTCTTTTTCTTTCTTTTCAGCAGATATCATAATTCACCTCTGAATTATTGCCGCCATCAACATCGTGATCCCAAAGACAAAGCAGGAATATTGTATTGCATTTCTTATTAAATCAAGCTGTTTATACAGTGCTAATATGTTTACATTCAGGAGGGATTTTTGGAACAACACAGCTGCTGCCTTTCAAAGAGCAAGCAAGCTTGCATTGCTTGTTTATAGTCATGTGTGTATATGAGACAGCTTGGGAAAAAGATGTCTTTAATTTTCCTCAGGCAAAACCCTATAGAATTTAGTAGGCAGTAAGAGTTTTCTTAAGTTTTTGTTAAGCATCCTGTTGACTTGAAAAGAGTCCTTGGGATGGGTCCTGTGGCAGAGCCTCACACCTCTCTGGCAGTGCCTTTCTGTGCAGAAGAAATGGCACTGAGCACCAGGAGGTGTGGGTTCTTTC